AATTGAAGAATTTCCTCAAGCCAATCATATGTTTCCATTTAGAAGTATGAACCGTTGTTTGGTTTAAACCTTGTGATTTAGAATATTTGGCTTGCAAGAAGTAAGATCGTGTTTGAACGGCTGGAATCAAATAGAAGAATTGGGAATCCTATCGCCAAGAATCAAACTACTTATAATGAGATTCCTATGTCAGTTCAAGCATTTTGTTCGGTTTGTTTCTCAAAAAAAAATTCAGAATTAGTTTTGAAAAATAGAAATTAATTTGATCCAAATAAATATCAAAAAAATTTTTCTTAAAGTTTAAAAATTATTTTTGTCCTCGCAAAAGATAAAATTATATAAAAATGATAAGTATTTTTTATATTTTTTATATTTTTTCACCAAATTAATTTTTAATTTTTCAGAAAAAATTTATGAAACAAGTTTCTAGAAACCAAACCAAACATGGCCTTGATTTTAGGTTTTGTGAGACCATCTACTTTGTTTTATTATTAAATGCTTCATGTGAGATTCTCATGGGGGTGTGGGAATGAGATTCCGACTTATTGTGGTGATGTCATTCCACCTCAGGAAAGTAAGCCAGAATTACATTCCATTGTTTTGAACTCAACCCAAATGTCATTCCACCTTAGGAAAGTAAGCCAGAATTACATTCCATTGTTTTGAACTCAACCCAAAGAACAGGATGAAAGAGACATGGAATGAGATTCCCATTCCATCGTGCCACAAAACATATCCTAAATTAAATGAGGAGACCGCGGATTTTAATCAATTAGAGCTTGTTCAAACCGCTAAAAGAATGCTTATTCATGTGTTTTAATTGTTTTCTTACATGGTTTTAGACCGTCTTTCAGAAACATGTCTCGAGTTATATATTGTTAAGCGTATAACCTACAATTTGAAAGCAGAATAAACCATCAAACTATGATGACTGACAGTTTTCTGCTATTGGCAAATTCTGAAGGCATTGGCCTTCAAAATGGTATTGTAATCAGCCAAGGATTATCGTTTTTCCCTCCATGAATACTGCTAACTTAACCGAAATGTTAAGTAGGTTGTTTAGCCACAAGAACTTTGAATGTCTTTGTTATTATTTAGTTTGAACATCCAGTTCTAGTGATTTCCTCCCTGTCAATAGTGCAGCATGTGCATGACTATTCATTTACTTGCAGGAACTGGAGAAAAGTCTTAAAGCAACATGTGAAGAGTTCATTATGTCAGTCACAAAGCTTGTTGTGGATCCTATGCTTTCCTTTGTTACCAAGGTTTGCTGTTTCCACTACTACCATATCGGTGCAAAGAGAACACTTGTTGCTTAAATATCCATGTAACTTTGCTTGCGTGTAAGCAAACATGACAAATTGAGAGACCAATCTGCTGGATAGCCAGGAAGTAAAGAATCCATACAATAAGGTTTTTTTATCATGACTAATTTTCTCAACTTTGTTCTTGTTAGGTGACAGCTGTGAAAGTTGCATTGTCTTCGGGAAATCCAAATCAAAAGCTAGAGTCAGCTTTGGCAAAACCACTCAAGGATCAAGCTTTTGCTACACCTGATAAAGTTGCTGAACTTGTTCAGAAGGTATGTGATATTTACTCAATGTCTCTTTTGCCGAAGTTTATGAATGACTGCCTTATGTGATTTACACTCTGATGGGACGATAAAGAGTTGGGTGAAGATTGTCTTATCTGGTGCCCTTTCCTGAATTGTTGTGTGCATAATTATTTTTATGTATGTATTTATGTATACTTTCTGAGATTGATTGGTTGGATCAATGTGTTTGATTTTCCTCCTTGATAAAGCGCTAGAGCTTAACTTGAGTTTATTTTAATGATATTCGTCTCTGTAACAGGTTAGTGTTTCTATAAAGGAAGAGTTACCAAGAGTGATGGCAAAAATGAAGCTTTATTTGCAAAACCAATCAACACGTACAATACTTTTCAAACCTATAAAGTAAGTTACTGATTGCACATTGCATGTTTAATCTACCGTTCACTGCATTCAAGGCAAATTGTTCAACCTTTAATGTTTAGATTTGATGGGGACATCTCTCTTATCAAAAGAATGATCAAGCATTATCAACCTTGCAAATATTATGCACAATCACAGGGTTTTTGAATCGAGTATTTCTAATGGTTTAGCGTAGTAGGTAGGTAGAGGTTCAAATACATTTTCTTGGATGGGTATTTGCTACCATTGCCAATTTCCAACGATTTTCTGGGGAAATTGTTCAAAACTTCTGTTTGTTTCCATTTTTGGTTCTTTCTGTTGACATATAAAAATTGTGTTTTTCATGGTTTTTTTTTTTTTTTTTTTCGTATTTAGATATTGCAATTTTATATTTGTAAAAATCTTCTCAAGGATGCCTTCATCAAAATTTTATTCTTCTTTCACGTGAATGATTTGTATTTTAATTTGGTAGTGAACTGGAAATATTTATTCTTATAATCAATTACAAACTATTTTTTTATGTAGGACTAACATTGTTGAAGCCCATATTCAAGTACAATCCCTCCTAAAATCAGAGTACTCCCCTGAAGAGATGCAAGGAATTATCAATATGGTTTCCATACAAGATCTGCAAATGCAACTTGACAACCTCCTGTAGGATATGCTTCTAGTTCTAGCCCCTTGTAACTCGGCTTTGGTCATTTTCTGTCCTAATGCCATTCATCATATATATACATATTATTTTTTAAAAAAAAAACAATTTGATTTCCCAGAAAGGGAAAAGATGTAGAAAAAGGTGCAAAGATTGGATCATTTATTTTAGTTGTCTTTGAGCTGTTGTTTTAATTACTAAAGGTCATGTAAACTAATTTGATTTTAAAAAGAAGAAAAAAAAGTAAGGGTTCATATCTACTTGTACTCTGGTGCTAGTGTTGTTTCACAAGAAACACACACACACCCACCCACATACATATATACATTTATCATATATATATATATATATATATTATGTGCCTTGCCCAAATGAATTGGTTTTATGTATTAGTTTAGTGCAGACAATTTAAGCAAGCCAGTTTCTAAGAGCTTGAACCTGGTTTAGAAACATGCCATTTCTCTATTCCAATGTTGATTAGAACTGAGGGTTGCTAATAGCCCCACATAATTTCTTAGGACGTCTCACTTTTTTAAACACCATTAACTAATTTCAAATTTTGTAAACTTCTTTAGATACCCCGCTTAAAACCAAAACCAATTCTTACCCTCTCAAACTCTAACCCACCCACTCCACTCATCACCAATACCAAATTCTTTGGCCACCTTCGTTCGCCCTGTCTAGCTTTAGCGGCCACCCTCACCACCTGTTCTTTCCCTTCTTGCCTCCATCTCTTCATATTTTGCCACCACCAGAAAATCTCTCTCCTTTTAGTTGATCTCCAGCCAGGTGATCTCTCTCGCTCTGGGTTGTATAGATGTGGAGGGTTGGGGTGGTGCCGAAGGGTGAGGTGGCTGCATGGGTGGGTGTTGCGGTGTTGAGGGGGTAGGGGTTGCTAGAGAGGAGGGAAGGGGCTGGGTAGGGGTTGGAGGGCAGCGACCAAAGTTAGCGGTTGGTGGGAAGGGCAGAGAGAGGCCAAGAGGGTAGAGTGGTTGGGATGGTGACATGAAGTGGGAAGAGGCTAGGGGTGGCAGCCGATGGTGGAAAGGTAAACTGCATATGAAGGTAAAATGAATTTGATCTAAAAAATTCATTTAACGGCTTTCAGAAATTTAATGTTGATGAAGGAAAGAGTTGTGTATTCAAGCTGTTTTTGATCTGTTATTTGCCTCCAGTGGTGATATTGTTTTGATGGGTTGTGGTCTCTAGGTTGTGTTGTTTAGCTAGTTTGATCTTCTTATGTTGTGCATGGTTAGCTAGATTTTCCAAGCTAGGTTCTTTAGTATCTAAACTTTGTACCTGTTTCTTTCTATATAATATCTGTCTTTGCATCTTTCCTCAACAAAAAAAATAATAGGGGATTTATGTGTGGATCCTAATTGATATACTTATTATTCAATATGTCATATGATAATTAATGGCATTTTTTATCAAACACTATTAAAAAACGTCACTAATTGTTAATTTTCAGTGACAGTTTGAAAGTGTTACAAAAAATACTAATTATAAGTTTTAACGACAGTTTAAAAAAACCGTCACAAAAAGTCGCTAATTTTTAACTGTGAGCAACAGTTTAAAATTTATCACAGAAAGTCACTAATTGTAAATTTTTAACGATAATTTATAAAAGTCGTGACAAAAAAGTCACTAATATTCAATTTTTAGCGACATGTAAAAAATCGTCATAAAAAATTATTTTTAACGATGATTTTATTAGGATTTATTTTTTATAGGACTTGATGAGAATTAAATTCAATTATTAAGACTTATTAATAATTTATCCAAAAATAAATAAACAAAAAATTAATAATAATGATAAATAGTTGTGAATCTTGGGTCTAAGTGCAACTATAATTTCCAACACTTAAGATGCACTTTTTTTCTGGGTAATAACATTATGGGAATAAAATAATATGGATTAACTTTATTTGCCTTTTTTTTGTCTTTTTGAATAAAGAATTTTACAGTAATATGCAAAGTTGAAATCAAGTGTTCGACAAAATGGAAAAGAAACAACAGAAACTAAGAGCAACATTTACAATATTATTCTAATGAAACAATAAAACGTGTATATATACATGAAATCATTTTATTGCAGAAATGTTATCAAACAATGTACTCCTATAAAAAAAATTAGAAAAAAAAAAAAATCTTGGCCTTAAACAGCCATTTATTGCTTCTTATGTGAGCAATTAGCAATCCCTCTTTTAGGAAAAATGATGAAGCAGCCATCCAAAAATTTCTAAGAGGGAGAACTGGAAGGGCAAGGCATGGTGGTATACAAGAAAATGAGAGGGAACTGATATTCCAACTTAAAAACGTGTATATATACATGAAATCATTTTATTGCAGAAATGTTATCAAACAATGTACTCCTATAAAAAAAATTAGAAAAAAAAAAAAATCTTGGCCTTAAACAGCCATTTATTGCTTCTTATGTGAGCAATTAGCAATCCCTCTTTTAGGAAAAATGATGACGCAGCCATCCAAAAATTTCTAAGAGGGAGAACTGGAAGGGCAAGGCATGGTGGTATACAAGAAAATGAGAGGTAACTGATATTCCAACTTACAAATTAACAATATACAGCAACGCTGCTTTAATCTAAAGATGCGCCTCCTTGTGAGTTTTCTTCGCCGCAAAGGTCTGACTGGGATCCACTGGCAATGATTGTTGGAGGCGGAGACCGCTGATCTGGCACCATAATGAAATAAGCAGCCATAGCTTTTCTAAAGCGTTTCTTGTACTGCATGGGAGATATCACAGTTGGAGGCGTGTTTTTAGGTCCACCAAGGATGCCGGATGCCTTCACCCAAGTTTCAAGGTGTTTGTCCCATGTATATTGCCTCATGAAATCAATAATCCCAAGAACCAACTCGTGCTTTTCTTCATCAACGCCAACTAGTAAAGAGTAATCCATTACGTCAATTGACTGCAATAAATCGATAGTCAATACATTAGGGAAGTACATTATATAAGTCACTTCAAAATATAAAAAAAAATCATGATCCAACAGAATATGAGCAAAAAAGAAATCACAATTGGCCGAAATGAACAGAATGCCAAACAACTGACTATTATTCAGTCTTTAATCTTGTAGCAGAAAACTAAAATGTCTCTCCCAGGCCACACAAGTAATTCACTAAATTTAGCAATGATTACCCAGTGTTTTAGAGCAAGGAAAATGTAACCAGCCAAAATCCTTAAGATGCACATGGATAGGTGGTTAATAATCATCTAATTGAGTTTTATATTTTTATTTATTTATTTATTATTATATATACATATATATATATTTTGCAATAGTACCAAACCCTTCTCACCATCATAATAACGAAAAATCAATTCATCAACACATACAAGTAGTCTCCTACTAGCATAAAATGAAAGAATACCACAATAACATTTAGGCACATATGAGCACACTTCAAACAACAAAAAAAATTCAAGGCGGAAAGTTAGTTTCCAAAACTTACAGCAAGAAATGCAGTATCATTCCAAACAGCTCTCTCCAGCAACCGCTTTGCCTGGTTCCCCACAAAAATTGGAGAAGTTGGCATGGCTTCAATCAGGTTCTGGTCAAGGAGAACTTTATTGCTTCCACTTGCATCTGGATTATACCGTGACCGTGAAGATCCCTTAAGGTCATACAGTCTTGTGACATTACGTCCAAAGAGAAGATTCTCCATTACCAAAACGTCTATTCTTGACTCCTTTCCTCCTTTAAGATGCTTTGATGTAACCTTCAAGAAACCAAACAAGAAACCAAACAACAAAAGGAAAAACGAATTACAAATTTAAAGGGAAAAAACTTTATCAAACCAATAAGAAACGACGGGACGCATAAAAAATTGTGAAAGAAATAATTAAGTAGAATAAAAAACTTGAAGTTGCTACGAGTACAAGAGAAACAAACAAGAATGTTTGGTTAAGATCGTGACAACAGAAATAACATATATGACATAACAGGGTATATGGAGTTTTATGAAGCCAACTCTAATGGATTAATATTCCATGGTTAGTTATACAGAGTTGTCTCCTTAAACAAGTCAGACAACTTGTCTAAAATATTTTAATTTCCAGTATGAAAAGATGAAGACACGGGAAGGGCACATTTATGACATAAATGAAACCATTACACGTTTGCAACCAAACACTTTCTTAGATAGAATGACCAAATATCCTGGAGTGGTTGACTTTGTGTAGCTAAACCATAATAACTTTATTGACTACTGTCCACATGCAACTCACCATGGATAATATCCAAAATAAACAAATAAATAAAATCTGAAAGTATCTTCAAACATCCAATTGAAAATACTTTGTGCATCCATAGAGAGTCAATCAAGACATAGTAAGTGTTAGAATTTCTCCATACCATCCACCTCCACTATCACACACTCCACTACCATCCACCTCCACTATCACACACTCCACTACCATCTTCTCCTCTATATATAGGACTTGTAATAAACAGAATAAACACAACAATCTTGTAATCCATCAATTAATCAATAATACATACATAAATTACATAAATTCTTACATGGTATCAGAGCAAGGTTGAGAAGCTAGTAATTCTGCTTCACAGCCAGGAAGTAAAGAATCCATACAATAAGGTTATTATTATACAATAAAATAAAATAAAAGTAGGAATAGAGAAAATATATTATAAGAAAATATATATATAGATATATATATTAAAATAAAAGAAAAGTGTGAAATAGCGTGGATAGAACCAGCACATGGTTTTGGTTTTAGGATTCATTATTTTAAGATATATATAGATATTAAAATAAAAGAAAAGATGGGTGGTCAATAATAAAATAAAAGAAAGGAAAAGAGGGGGACAAAAGTTGATGGATAGTTGGATGAAGAGAAAGTTGTCTTCTTCCTCTTTTTTTTTTTTTTGTTTGCCATCTTTTCTGTCTCACGAGGAACATCAGCTTTTGCAGAAAATGAAGAAGCTAATGACCCAGCAGGTCTTGTTATGAACTTCGAAAAAGATTCAAGTCCTCAAGCTGAAGACATCATCAAAGAACAAGGTAAGCTTCTCTACAAGCGCCACAAGAGCACGGCTGTCTCTTGGCTCAGAAACATCTTCCATGACTGTGCTGTTCAGTCATGTGATGCTTTACTACTGCTGGACTCAACAAGAAGGAGCTTATCTGAGAAGGAGACTGACAGGAGCTTTGGACTAAGGAACTTGAGGTACCTTGATACCATCAAAGAAGCTGTGGATAGAGAGAGCGAAGATGGTGATGTTGTGGGTGTTTACTGTGGCTTCGAGGGTTGGTAAGAGGAGGAGGGCGACCGACAATACTAGGGAATACAGCCCTTGGAGCAGCATCTCCGGCAAATCCAGCCTTAACCATTCCAGTTCCATTATTACAGACGAGTTCGACTTCGCCGCCGTTGTTGGTGGAGAGAGATAGACCCATCAAGAAGAGGACTGGCATCGCCACCAACACTACCACCTTTAACAGTGATGGCATGGCCGAAAGTTATATGGGTTGTTGGAAGAGGAGGACTACTAACGTGGGCTACAAAGCAAGACACAGAGAGAGATGAAGCTGGGTGGGTATGTAGAGGTCCGGCGGGCGGCCAAGGCGAGGCTACCGCCCGCCGGTGAAGCAGAATTACTAACTTCTTAACCTCGCTCTGATACCATGTAAGAATTTATGTATTATTGATTGATTTATGTTGTATTATCTGTCTATTACAAATGGTTCCTTATATAGATGTAGGTGTAGTGGAGTAGGTGGTGGTAGGTGAGGAGTAGGTGAGTGTAGTAGGTGAGTGTGTGGTAGGTGATGGTAAGTGTGTGGTAGGTGATGGTAAATTTTAACAAAACCAAACAACAAAAGGAAAAACGAATTAAAAAACTTTATCAAACCAATAAGAAACGACGGGACGCATAAAAAATTGTGAAAGAAATAATTAAGTAGAATAAAAAACTTGAAGTTGCTACGAGTACAAGAGAAACAAACAAGAATGTTTGGTTAAGATCGTGACAACAGAAATAACATATATGACATAACAGGGTATATGGAGTTTTATGAAGCCAACTCTAATGGATTAATATTCCATGGTTAGTTATACAGAGTTGTCTCCTTAAACAAGTCAGACAACTTGTCTAAAATATTTTAATTTCCAGTATGAAAAGATGAAGACACGGGAAGGGCACATTTATGACATAAATGAAACCATTACACGTTTGCAACCAAACACTTTCTTAGATAGAATGACCAAATATCCTGAAGTGGTTGACTTTGTGTAGCTAAACCATAATAACTTTATTGACTACTGTTCACATGCAACTCACCATGGATAATATCCAAAATAAACAAATAAATAAAATCTGAAAGTATCTTCAAACCACTACCATCTTCTCCTCTATATATAGGACTTGTAATAAACAGAATAAACACAACAATCTTGTAATCCATCAATTAATCAATAATACATACATAAATTACATAAATTCTTACAGTAAGTACCATGGTAACTAGTGAATTTTTTTATTTTTTTGGTTAGTCGTAACTGTGTGAGATAACAGGTGCCTTGAGATAGAAAAATATGTAGATTCCATCACAATTGGTTGATTGATACATTGGGAAAGGAAAGGAAATGAATATGGTAGTCAAGCCAAAATGCACTTCACAACATGGAATATGGCTTTCGAACTAGAAGATTGGAATTGAGCCAGCCACCCAACAATTCTAAAGACAATTTCAAATTCCAATTATTTTCTAGATGAATTGGCAGTCATACTCTTCAGACAACGGAAAACATAAATAATACCTGGTAAATGCCCAAGATCTTTGCCAGGCAAGTTGGGCTTCTTGAACTAATTGATTCAGACAAATACTTAAAATAAGCTGGTGCAAACTTGATGAACGACTCCAGCTCTGTCTTTGTAACCTGTTTAATGATAAATCGGTCATCTAGGGTTTTTGCAAAGAAGACATTACTCTTGCCACCCTGTGCACCCCACTTTCTACAACGACTGAGGGAGCGTATGAAATCCAACTCAGAGGGGCAACAAATCCTTCTCAACGCCTCAAATCGCTTTGCATAGTAACAAGTCACAGTATACTTCACATTTCCAAGAGGGCCATCATCTGTGAAAGATACTATGGTACGCGAAGCCTTTGTGAACAAGAGTGGATCCAATACTGAGGAGCCCCGAGATCCAGACATGGATAAACTGCTCTCATCAGTAGAGCCAAGACTTCTAAAGGATTCAGAAGTTTTATTGTCAAAAGAGTTAAGTGAGAGAAGATTAGTTGAATCCAAAAGCAATGATGAGACTGAAGATTCCACACCATCTTTTGGTCTCTCGGGCTCATTGGATATCTGGGTATGATAATCTGGTGAGAGAAGTGCATATGATATGATACTGGTAGGTTCATCATCATAAACTGGCAAAACAGTATCATTAACACCCACAGGAAGAAGTAGCCTGGCACCACCTTGACGCACCATCTCCCAGAATGATTTGACATAGACAGGATTATATTCGCTAACTTTGCCAACAATTTGAGCATTCAATGAAGAATTCTTGTTCAACGAGTGATAGAAATTTAAGAAGGGCATCCCCACCCAGCTCATGGAGTTCTTTTGCTCTTTGAGAGGGACTGAAAAGCCAAGAGAATGAGCCACCTTAGCCCCATCTTGGTCATCAGTACGGTTCTTCAAATCTGAGTTTGCAGCAACTGAATCAACCACATCTGAAGAACCTTCCATAACTTTGTTAGCATATTCACGGCCATTCTCTTTAGGTGTTATACCTCCTGGGTGATTTTCACCAGTCCATGCCGCATCCAGGGTAGCAGATAAGTTTTCCATAATTGGGAACTGCCCTTCTGAAAGAACCCTTCGTACATTTTTTACAGACTCCATATTGTTTGTTTGATCAGTCATATTTCTGCCAGAAGAAAGATAAACCTCAGCCTCCCTACAATCCAGGTCATGATCCATGTCTTCTCCTTTACGAATTTCATTGGGTTGGTTAGTCATGCAAAGACTTCCCCATTGGTTCAAGTTTATATCAGGCTTTCCATCCAGAAGAAAGGAGTCACAGCTACTGAAGCTACTGAACCGTTTACCAGGCTTTGAAGTTGCATTCATCTCAACAGGCCTGTCACTAGAACAGACAGATTTCTCCTTCGGCTTTGCTATCGAACTGTTCATGCCTTCCTGAACACTCTTGCTATTTAAACTGACACTGTATATCAGATGTTGATCCCAGATATAAGAATGGAAGAGTAACTGCCTCCTCAGTTTATTAATCTCAAGAATATCGATTGCAGGCTGGCCAACTTTAACTTCCCTATTCAGTGCTTGCTGCACCGATTCCTGAAACAAAACAAATTAAACAATTAAAAAAGCAAAAAGCAAAAAAAAAAAAAAAGGACACACTGCAAGAAGTGGTAACAACTTCCTAGCTAAAGGAAAATGAGTGATGCCGGGCAAATTGTTTGAGGCAAGAAGAAACAGAAATTGCCTTGATTACAGCGTACCATACCAAGGCCTCCTTGCATCGTACATCAACTAGGTGAAATCATACAAGATACATCAGGTTGAATACCTTAGTTGGATGATGATATTTTCAACATCTAAAAATAAAACATCAATAATGTTTTAATTCCATCTCTTAGATGATGAAAAGTTTATATTTGTCAAGAAATAACAGCCTAGCGTTTATTCATGACATTGCTCAATAAGAAAATGGCCTGATTCATGTACAGGTCATGAATCTGTATTCTGCAGAAGGTGGGAAACCTTTTCTCATGCAAATCCAGCTCAGAAATAGGGAAGAAAGGCAGAGATCAACAACATCAACCAACTACCTCAAATTCTTCTTTCTCCTTCTGTAGCATCCCTGCCAGTTCTGCAACTCTCTTTCTTGATTCAGGTGCTTTCATGCCACTGTCAAGTGATGTTCCCTCCGAAATTTGACGGACAGCATTGTACACCTCAGCAAATAAGAGATCTGCCCTGCTTCTGATCTATTGTTTCACATAAAATCAATCACTCAATGAGAAATGCAAACTATTAAATTACCAGATGAATCCGAATCAAGACATGAGATATATGTACCTCATCAGCTTCTTTTCTTATCCAGTCCTGATTATCATAATTAAATTCAAGTTTTGGGGGTGGGAGATACACAGAATGAACATCAATTGAAGCATAGTGAAAGCAAGCAACCGTTCTTCCAAAACTGCACATGAGATAAAATAAAGTAAGAGGATGACAAAGATTATGCTTAATTAAGCCAAGCCTCTAAAGCTCATAAGCACCCCCATGCTCGTGGCTTGTGCGACGAGATGTCCAAGGAAAGGATATGTTGGTGCCTGCTAAGCTACCTAAGATTGTATTTATATGAAAAAATTTCAGAGCAGAAAGCCCATTTCAATTGGAGACCTCCTTATAAACAATGATAATTGCAAGAAAAGAAAAGAAAAATGTTATTTCAAACAACGATGCAGCACTCTTAATTGAAACAAGATTTTGAAAATTAGTGTCTTGCATTAAAGTGTTCTTCATGCAATATTCTAAAAAATTTCTCAAGCGTATAAATTTATAAAATCACTTGAAGTAACAAACCTGCAACTGATATAAACAAAACACATACATATTACAGATGACATCAGAATCTGTAGATATGTCACAAGCGTGTCCAACATGACTGGACATAAGCCAACCAAAGATTTGGTTTTTAACAAATAGGAACAAACAGATAAGATGGAATCAGAAAAAGGACCATTCCTAAATGTTTGAAAATTTATGTTGACAAAATTTGTTCTTAGTAGGCAAGGATTTATTATGCTTGAATACTGCATATTTACAACATAAAACATTATTTGAAGAGAAGAAAAAAAGTACCCATAGAATCGGAGACAATCTCTGTGAAGGGAATGACCACAATTTGCAACCCTGCTTGCAGCTGCATGGTTTGAAAAGCTAAGCTCCAAAAATTTCCCAAAAGATAAACCCCATGCAGCATCAGACATTACTACTCTTCTAGTGGTGGGAGGGAACCCATTGGTCCGAGGACATCGCAGGCACCGATGCCACATCCAGATTTTTCCTTCCTGTTCCCCTGGGAGAAAGAACTCCTTGCACTTCTTAACAGAAATTGTAAGACTACCTTGCCGATGAGTATAGCAATGAACATGTGCTTCTGATGGCATCTCACATGACGGGCACCGGTAGCTCTAGGAAAGAAGACATGCTTATTCAAACTCAATTGAACTGTGGATTTTCCGGAAAAGAAATATGATCATAATAAGAAAATAGAAGAGATCTTACCTGATCAAACAAATGATCACGTAAAAACCGCCCCAAAGGCTTATCAAAGGTTCCATAGTATTTAATGCGCAAGAGGTGGGCACATTCACATACAGTTCCCTTCCACACACAGCGTGTTGTCAAGGACACCAAAATGCTTTGATGATCAGAGGGTGAGGGAGAAAACTCTTCTCTCAGAGACCCCACCTCCCCATGGTTACTATTGCTTTCTTGTGCTGAGGATGCCAACTCTGAAGTGCGAAAATGATTAGAAGTTAAATTATCATCTCCCAGCACTTGGCCAATGTTGACCGTTAATGTTTCCTTGAGACCCACATTATTGTTCTCCTCAAAGACATGACAAGGGGAGAAAATATTTGGGTAAGCATCTGAAAAGATATGCCCCGGAGCAGACACAGAGTCGAGAGAACCTGTAGATTCCACAGCAGTTCTGGGAGGTTCTGAGTGCAAAGTTTGAGTGATAGGATCCTCAGTCAACCATGTTGACTGTGCCACTTCTGATTTCCATTTGGGGGAAATGATAGCAGATGAGGCAAAATCTGACAAGTTATTTTTAGATCTCTGTGATTCATCAAAGGGATGAGCACCCTGAGGCTGAGGCTTTTGAGTCTCAGGAGCAATAAAACCAGGTATGGTAGATATGGACCGGCCAATACTCAGGGATTTATTAGGTAATGCAACGGTTATTGGACACTTTAAAGGAAGTTCTGGCAGAGAAGCACCTTCATCAGCAAGAAAAGATGTCTCTAGAGCCAAGTGATAAGCGGCAAAGACTCCATATTGGACAACATGCTTCACTCTCTTCAACTCATCCCCACTGGCACCCTTGAGCAAAATCTGAAAGAAAGATATGCATGCCTCAGTTCCTGTTGAAAATTTTAATTATGCATTACATGGGCCAGATGGATTAAAACAATAACTGAAGTACTGTACAGGGGTCCACCAGTTGCATAATCAAACCATTAGGGAATTTGCAGGCATTAACAACCCCAGCCCATAAGTCTGAGCTGGAATGCACATCATTGATGATCTAGAGCCTGCTTACAAAAAATTTCCTTGTCTCCAATACATCATTTTTCTACACTACAGAAACAAATTTCAAATGGATAGCCTAGATGGAAAACACAAACAATTCTCACTATTAACTAACATTTATGAGGCCATCATGATACTATTAACAAAGTGTTACAGTGTGTGGGCCACACATCTATTTTTTTCCATTTTAAAATAAAACATACTGAGGTGTCTGTATTGAAGGACTTACAGTACAACCCAATGGCTTCGGGCAACCCTCAAAAAACATCAATGTCTTCGTCAATTTCTTCCCACTTTGTTCCGCACTGCCATGCTCTTCAAAAAACTTGTCCACATGGAATGAGTCACAATGTCCTATTTTCTGTGATGTAAGACGATCGATTGAAGGGGCTATTTGAGCACCTGTACAGCGAGCTATACGCTCTAGAAGTGGCCTCTTGATATTCAGAACAAGTGATATATTTTTCGCAAGCAGGTATTCTTGTGCGAATCGGGATACTGATTTCTCTACCAAAAGAACATTAGGATGATGAGCATCAATTTTTGCAACAGCCATCTTCAAATGGTCCATTTCCTATAAGGGGTAGTAAAACATGAGAACAAGGAACCAAGAAATAACCATAAGCAAGCAAACAACTGATAATTCATCAGCTTCGTTCCTCATTAGAGACACATACTCAAGGTGATCATTTTACAAATATAATTAAGTAGCAAGATTGAAATCAACACCTGCTGCAACAAAGTATCAAAACTTGACAAGTGGTTAGAAACCCGTTGATATTCCAAAGCCCCTCCAAGGATTAGGAATCGTGGTTTATCTATTTTTGATGCCATTCGCCGATGAGCAACATTTTTCCTACACACAACTCCCTTAACCACCGTACTAGAAGAATTAAAACCAAAACTTCATTAGCATGAGCACAATTGGTAGATAGACACAGAAATACATAAATTTAAATCAACAATACCTAATCCTAACCATATAGAATTAGTCATTTGAATTGCTCATTCTAAATTTTACCCTTTTTAGGAAATTATATTAAAGAACTAGATTCTTTTCTTAATACATGCATTCCTTGTAAAATATTATTAATAATACACATAAAAGTTGCAAATTTTTGTTAATTTACAGGTGTGATATCATTATAAATATATATTTTTTCTTCTCTTCTCTACAAGCATATTCAAATATTTTAGAAATATATATATATATATATATTTACAGAAAGAAAGAAACAGCTTCTCTTTAGTGAATTCCTCTCCAAATTCTGCAGATCGATCATGTCAACATTCCACAAAAAGGTGCACAAAGGAAAAATATGTTACTAAGCATCTACACCATAATTAGTTCTGCGAAATCATGCGCAAGCCCTGAGAATAGAACTGAGAGTATGACATATCAATTTGAACATGTGTGACATTTCCACCTTTATTGTACATGGTCCGGTCATTGATCAGAGTTTCCATCATTAGTTTCAAAATCTCATTAATTCAATAATCATGACCTAAAACACTTTAAAAGTGCAAAAAGGACTCGTCAGTAGCTACTAGTTACCAAAACCAAATATGACACTGAATTGTAAATTACTACAAGCACAAAGTTAGAAAACATTATGGACAACGAGATGTAAGTGAGACCTCCAAAAAATGGAGAAGTTAGTTACACCTGTAGATAGGGCAATAAAAATGGTTCACTGCAGAAAATATTATATAATCAGAGAAGTACCTATCAGTGCGACACCCACAAGCTATACATTTGACCTTTACATATCCACCAGGATCCATTCCTCCACCCTTACTTGTATCTGGCTTAAGAAGTGTGGCAGCTTCCCAGCACAAATATGTAATTATATCCAACCAACTCACTTTGTTATCATCCTCACCCAAAGGTAGATTCTCAACTTGCAGAAGCTGAGCTACCAAAGCTCTAAAATGCCCATCAACCACATTCTTCATGGCTTTCCTGTGTTCTTCACTTGACCTATCCTTATTATGGAACTGACTGTTACCAAAGCTTCTTGAAGAGCGTAGGCTACCCCAATCTCCTGTAGCATCATCATCCTCCTCCTCATCACACAAAACAGCTTCTCTCTCGTGCTCTTCATCTTCAGGCTCTGGAGGGAGCCAAAGTAGCCCATTGTTCTCAAAATCCACAGGTTCAGACACCTTACTATCCACATTATATACAGGAGAAACTTCACACCCATCAACATTTTTGCAGCTGGCTCCTTCTTCCTCAACCTTTTTGATTCCTTCCAATTCAGGTGTCTCAAGGCTCCTAGGTAACAAGGAGGAACTCAGGTTTTTTGTGTCATGGTTCTTAGCATCAGGATGCACTTCATGTCGTCCATAGAGGTGGCCAATCCCATCATAACTGACAGCACCATAATAGTCATCAGATTGAGGAAAATGACCGGTTTCAGACTCTATTCCACAGATGCCATATCCATCATCCTCATCATCACTTCTAGCACACAGAATATGCAGGAAATAAATGATCAATCAACAACTGCAAAGCGTAAGTTCATGAAATTTGATGTGGCGGTGATTAAGATTATTTGCTGTGACAAATCACAGATTCAGGATGAAATAGAAAAGCAACAATCGCACAAGCACACACAGACTTTACATAGTTCAGACAGAAGCCTACATCCACAAATGAAAGAAAATAGAGAAGTGATCACTGCAGAGAAAAAGAAGGCACAAGAGGATTGCTCTTTTACACAAACCCCAACCCCCTTTATACAATGAGTTCTCTACTCTCCAAAACCGCCAAATCAATATGATGTAGGACAAGATTTTAAGAACTTTTATTTAATACTATTAAGATATTTTCTCTTCCTTATGGATTCAAGGTTCTGTTTTTTCTTGTAGATTCAAGAGCCTCTTTCGTTTACTAGAACGATATCTAGTCCCCGTGTATTCCACTACGTCAAGTGGTATCAAAGCATAGATTCGCCTAGCTCAATGACACAAGACAATGGAGAACACACAATCCCTATTGACATTGATCATAGGGTGGAAGTCATATGGGATGTGATTGAGGAATATCGGCTAGAGGTGCATGAACTTCACAATGAGATTTGTAATCTACTTGCCGATTTGGGACTAATCGTCAACCAGAGGCAACCAATAGTTGACAGCAATTGCGCCGAAGCATTCACCAGAGGCCAACCTGTTACCTTACGTTATTTTGCAAAAATCTCATATTTTAACGGTTCAAGTAAGTTTCAAAAAGAAGATTTTCTTGATTGGTCGCTTGATCTTGAAAATTTCTTTGAATTCATGAAGATTCCTCATGAAAAGAAGGTTATATTTGCATCCTACAAACTTGATAAAAGTGCATTGAAGTGGTGGAATATATTACAAGATTATCAAGTTTGCAAAGGTAAAAACAAAATTAATTCCTAATTAATAATGAAAAAGTTTTTAGTAACAAAATTTTACTTTCATGATCATGAAAATATATTGTCATATACAAATCAAGATACTTCCATGGAATTGGTAAAAAATTGCAATGAAATTGTAGTTGCAAAATAAAAGAATTCGCATCTAAATATTATTTGTGGTGAGATTGTTTGTAAAACTAATAAAGAAGATACAAAGTCTTATTCGAGTGTTAAAAATGCATCAACACATGGTAATTTGAATATTGGGGAGAAAGTTTTACAAACAAATCATAAAAATATTGAAGAAGAAGGAGATCTGATTGAGCCCAGTAACAAAGAGAAATAGAAGAAGAGATAATACAACCACTACGTGCAACAAAGAAATTGGTTGATGCTACACTTGATATTCCATGGTTGATAATTGAAGGATCAATTGAATCTGGGATGGTGCAACATTAAGAGACCATGCAAGTTCTACATAAAGTAAATTTGGTTGATTTTTTTGATGTGAAGCAATTTAATTTGATTTTCAATGCTTGTCTAATTGATCTTGTCAACCAGTTGACGCATATAGAGAATAACTTTCAGAAAGTAAACTTCTCTACATATAATTTTTGGAAGAGGGACAAGCAACTGAAGTATTCCAAGTATCTTTTTATTTGGTATGGACGATGGCAAATCACTATTATGAACTCAAGGACGAGTTCTTTCAAAAAAGAGGAGCCTGATGTAGGACAAGATTTTAAGAACTTTTATTCAATAATATTAAGATATTTTCCCTTCTTTGTGCATTCAAGGTTTTGTTTTTCTTGTGGATTCAAGAGCCTCTTTCGTCTACTAGAACAATATCTAGTCCCCGTGTATTCCGCTACGTCACAATAGGTCCAAATACAAGATAAATAACCCCAACACCCTTTTCCCCAGGCCTTGAGGATTTCAGCCTCTTCATGGCTTTCAAGAAATGCCACTTGGATACTGAACTGAAGGCACCGTTGAGACATTAGTTGCTGATACAGGGATGTGATTATTATGTGATGCCCATCACCTATTCAAATTCAACAAAAGAAAAATACCTCCAGAAAAAAAATTTCAAGCAGGAGAAGGTATACTCCTACTTACTGAGTGCAACTTGTGATTTAACAAAATATAGCACGATCAACAGTGCCCAGCTGTACCCCAAAATTTCCAAATAACTACTGACAGGAGAAATTTGTTCAAATTTACAATAGCAGAATTTTGCTCCAACAAAATAAATAAAAAGTAGACAGATATGATACACTTCTTTGACAAAACCAGAGATCAAGATTTTCAGGGTTAACTGCTGCTTTTAAAATACCGCTTCTGTGAGTTGAATGGATACTTAAGGAGAATCAACTTGCTTGTGGATCTTGTTCATGCTTTCCTTTTGGAGCACTTTTCAAAGTCAACATGAAAGTCACGAGATTAAAGATAGATAGCATGCAGTATCAGATAATGCCAAATATTGTAACATGATAAAACAACATAGTTTTATTTTCTATTTGTAACTTCAATTTTGTGAGTGTTGCAATGTCTGACTCTGGTTTACCTTATTTTGTGATAATTTGTGCATACTACAGATATCAACCACTAGCTAGTAGGTTGTATTGAGGACCCCCATTAACATCAAGCATTGACACTTAAAGCAAGTTATCACACACCATCATCCCTTGTATATAAGAGTCCACACACTAGGAACACATACATAATTCTGGGTGCCAGATGCAACTGCCATTGTGAAGAGCATCACATTTACCAAGCGAAATTATACAAGGTGAGTTGAAGAAGTCTATTATCACAATACAATACAAAGTAAGGGAAACAATGGCCACTTCCAAGTTTGAACCACACATCAAATCACTTCTTCTACTTCTTCTTCTTTTTTTTTTTTCCCCCCTAAACTCATGCAATTGGCATGATGAATATAAGTGCACTTATTCAGATAAGTGCACTTATTTGAATCACATCACTTTTCTATTTTTATGCACATCTCTTTTTAAAAAGTCAAAAAGTATACTTATTTAGATCATCCCAAATATTTTAACAAGCATAAGCATGAACAGTAATGCACACAAAAAAAGTATATGTATGTAATTAACATTTCTGAATAATAAACTAAAGACAAGACTGACAACATTTTGAGCATTGTAGTTTCATTATTAGTGAAAAGGGGGAGGGGGTGGGGGAGAAGCTTTACCTGTTCACGCAAAAATCAAATTGGTTAGGAAATGAATCCCCTGCATCTGCAATGGTATTTGAGCTCCTCTGACATGTTAGCTGATCTTGCTGAACTCTAAAAGGATCCATTTGAAGAGATTTACGAGGACTCTGGGCAGTAGTATATGGTACCTGATGGTACGGACCAGTTGAGTACTGTGTTGAAGCAACACTGCTGTTGCTGTTACCGCTGCAGTTAGATTGGCTGCTAATCAAACTTGTGGCTGATGGGGACGGACTGAGGCCCGGGCTTGGGCTTAATGCAATTTTGCCAGTGTCAACGACAGCTGTGCTCTGTTCCCATTGCTTAAGGCAATAATTACAGACCCTAATCCTCTCCCAATCTTCGCGGCGGCGGAGGAGGATGTTGTGCTCATCAGGAGGAGCAGGAACTGAATTAGCAGTGCACTTGGCACAGAAAACACGTCCACAGAGGCGGCAATGGTGTCTGCGGTTGAATAGGGTAAACTGGGAGTCACAGTCGTAGCATACCCTACAGCTGCGATCGGGCATCCAAAAATCCTTAGACATATTTGCAGCTTCCTTCCTCCTTGGGATCCATGATTTGACAATGTCAACTATCTCAGACGGCTTATGATTATGATTATAATTATCGGGGCTACCCATCCACAAAGATCCCACTTCATCCCACTCATCATTATAAAATGTTCATTGGTCACTTACTACTGTAAACCCTAAACTGCATATGCATATGCATATGCATATTCATATTGATTGCTAACAGAGATTCGGGACAGAACCATTTTTCAATATAAAAAAGATAAATTTGAACAGAAACACTAGAGGGCTAAATTGGATTATACTTTTTTTTTTTTTTTTCCTGTTCCTAGAAATTTGTGAAAAAAAAAGGGCTAAAAAAAAAAAAAAAAAAACCAAACAAACCACGCTAAGCAGAAATGACTCTTATGATTATTGCAGCAGTTTACGTGCAAGTAGAGCTTAAAATTGAAGACCGGTCAAGTCAGCATCCCCATGGAAATAATCTTAACGCAGAAGCAGATAGAGATAGAGATAGAGATAGAGATAGAGATGCAGCATCCAACTAGTTGATTGATGATGATGATGATGATGATGATGATGAAGTGAAAATCGAATCCTACTGGAATCCCCCAACCCAAGTCAATGCTTGGTTTGCTATTAAAACTTGTCAAAATTTATAGACAGACCTCAGGAGGAGGAGTGCAATCAGCAAGAATCGAATCGACAACCATTCAATGCGACACGAGCTTCACTCACAACCACACATTTGTTACTCGAAAGCAATCAAAGACTAGACTAGTAGTACTAGTACAAACAAGCACCAATTCAAAATCCCCGTGAACACTAACAACTTCTTCATCTACCTTCTTCTTCTTCTTCTTCTTCTTCTCGACCTTCAACATGTGCATATATATCTCTATAACTATACATGTCAGAGAGAGAGAGAGAGAGAGATAGAGTTTTAGGAAATTGAAAGGGATTCATTCATTCATTCAAGAATAACCTGACCGCTAATATCTGTCGTGATGAGAACCACTATTAATACACAAATTACATATCACATGATAATCATAAGGATAATAGGTAGCTAAGCTTTAAGTGAAGAAGACCATTCACGGAAAATGCATGACGCCTGACTATGACACCTACATAGAAAAATTAATAAATAAATTACAGGTACATTCTTTTTGAATTTGCTTAAAATATTATTTTTTTTATCAAATTAACTAATAATTTATAATAATATTAGAAATTTATTTTATTTAATAATTCAGATAAGAGTAATTAAAAAATTTATTTTTTCAATTAATTCTATTAAATAAAAAATTATAATCAAAAGTATTTATAATTTTTTAAACTATAATGGATAATTTATATTTTAAACAAATTTTAAGAGATATTTATAATTTACTCAAAAAAAAAAGAAAATAGACGCACATTACCCAATAAAAATAAAATAAATTAATGAATTTTGATATAACTCTTTACCCTTGTCTTGGGGATTTAGATTTGCTATTATGTAAATTATTTATCTATTTAGGTGGTTAATTAAATTAAATTTTATGTTCTAATCAAGTCAACATCATGGAAAGTTCCCTATATTAATTTTTTATTCTTAATTAAACAGTGAGCAACTATGAGGTGTGTTTAATTGGACGGACTGAATAAGGGGATTAGAATTTATCAGATTTGAATCTTGGAACTGTGAATCTTCCAAACTATTTGATTGGATTGGATATATATCTCGTGTTTGTTTTCTCATGGGATTAGATATCCGGAAATGATTATTTTTAGTGAATCTAATGTTTGGTTGGACGAACTAGATAAAGATAAATGTCCAAAAGACTATTTTATCCTTGTAATTTATAATTTATATTTTTTATTTAATATATAATTTTAAATTTGTATTCTATAATTTATAATTTAACAACACTAAAAAAATTTAATTTATAAGGCCATGATTTTTAATTTATTATTTTTTATTAATTTATAATTTATAATTTTTATTTAATATATAATTTTAAATTAACAATACTAAAAAAATAATTTTATTTAATATATAAATTTAATTTTTTAACAACACTAAAAAATTTAATTTATAAGGCCATAATTTTTAATTTATTATTTTTAATTAAATTAAATTTATAATTTATATTTTTTATTTAATATATAATTTTAAATTAACAACACTAAAAAAATAATTTTACTTAATATATAAATTTAATTTTTTAAGAACACTAAAAAAATTTAATTTATAAGGCCATAATTTTTAATTTTATTTAATTTATAATTTATATTTTTTATTTAATATATAATTTTAAATCAACAACACTAAAAAAATAATTTATAAATGTTCAAAAGATTATTTTGTCACTTCCCAATTGTTTACTAAGTAATAGAATGAAGGTAAAATGAACATTTCGTACATTAGTCCAATGAGATACCAATCCCATGGAAATAATCCCCCCTTCCAAGATTGTTTAGTCCCTCATATGAGGGATATGGAGTCCGGCCAGACTCCATGTCCGATGGACTAAAAATCCAATCAAACGATGAACATCTCTCTCATTCGACTAAGCAATCCAAACAATGAATAATCCCCCTCTACTCCCCCAATGGTGTGTTTGATTGAACGGACTGGATAAGAGGGGATTAGAATCCATCGAACTTGAATCCTGGGATTGTGAATCTCTCGGACTATTTGGTCGGATTGGATATGTATCTTGTGTTTGTTTTCTCATGGGATTAGATGTTTGGAAAAGACTATTTTTAATGAATCCAATGTTTGATGGGACAGACTAGATAGGATAAATGAGTAAAAGACTATTTTACCATTTTTTAATTATTTACTAAGTAATAGCAATATTAAACATATCTTTAGTATTTTAATTATTTTTAACTAGATTAAATAAAAATTTATTTTATTTAATTTTTTACACAATTAAATAAAATTATTTTTTAAAATTAAATAAATAAAATATCAATAAAAATGTATATTATTTTTTTAATTAAAATTTTAAATAAATTTGTTTTTAAAAATAATAATAATTAAACAATGAAATTAAATAAAACATCTATTAAAATTTAAATAATGAAATTAAATAAAATATAAACAAAATTTTAAAATAAAACATCAATAAAATATCTATAAAAAATTATTTTAGAAAAATTAAATAAATAAAACATTAATAAAAAGTTAAATAAAATTATTTTACTTTTTAAATTGAAACATTTAAATTTTATTAAATTTTACTAAATATAATGCATAATTAAATAGTAGAAGGTCAAATGATCATTTTACCACCTAATCCCAACAGTAAATAGTCCCTCCAAAATTGTCCCACACCCCCCCTTTCCGGGATAGTATAATCCCCTATATGAGGGATAAGGAGTCCGGCCGGACTCCATATCCGACGGACTAACAAAAAACAAACGTCAGATTGGATGCTTCTCCCGAATTATAATTCACACAGTAAATAATTCCCCCTTATCCCACAATCAAACGCATGTGTTCTTTTAAAAATAAGACCGTTTTGGTGAATTTTTTTGATTAAAATAATAAAAAAGACAAAACAATTGATTAAAATAATTAAAAAGATAAAATAGTCAATCACATTATTTTTTTTACTTTTTCACATGTGTTTTTTCATAAAAATTTAAAAAAATTAATTAAAATAGTCTATTCTCAAGTCTAAGTTTAATATTTTTAATAGAAGTAAATTGCATTGAAGTTGGTGTGTTAAAGTAGTGGCATGGTTAGAGGCTTCAATTCTAATGATATGGAAGAGAAGTTATTTGTGATTTTTTAATAATGTTTTTCACATAATTTTTGTGATATTTGTTTTATTATCTCTTACAAATTAATATAAAAATGATAAGTTTTACCATTTAAATCAATAGAAATCAATTTGGGCATTACAAGCCCACTTTTTGTTAAAAATAATTATTGAGTTCTCTTTCTTGATAGAATGAAGTCAATTGATGCTAATGTTCTAATTTGATACAAATTAATTTAAACAATAAAATTTATCATTTTTTTACACAAATTAATTTAAATAACAAAATCTATCACTTTTATGTTAATATTTATACTAATACTTCGGACAGGTATCATTTGAAAATTAGTAGAAGCATCACTCTAAAGCTCTCTTTTAAGAGTACCATTCTTTTCTTTCAATTTCCCTTTTTGGTTTGGAGAGTACCAGCACCTGACACTGTCAATTCTTATATTTTTTAGGGGACAATTATGATACGTACAATCCTATCAGAGAAGTTGGATAAATTAGAGGGTTGGGCAATTAGAATCTCGTTAATTATTTTAAATATTTTATTTTTTTGAATTTTTATTTATAAATTATAAAAATTTTAATTTTTTTTTCCTTCAAATAATATTAAAATTATCATTGTAAAAAAAATTCACCCACTTAAATGCATACTCACATACCCCAAAAAGCCTTTCTCTGAAACCCTAACAAAACTCACGACATTAGGACCTCCTAAAACTGATGAAAAAAATTTGTGATGATTAAGGAGTTTTTTTTCTACTTCATTATGAGATTTGTCAACTTATTTGATTTTTTTTTTCTATTACCTCTTTTTACATACACAACACAATCTACTTTTCATGCTTTTTGGATTAGTTTTATGTCATTCATCCGTAGCCTTGTTGTACTTGTATGCTTTTTGTGTGAGCAAAACTGGGCAGGATTTCACCCCGTAGTCGACTGGCCGATCGACCACCCTAGGGTGGTCCGACCTCCTTTGTTTGTTTGCTTCTACTACTATTTCGATTATTTGTTCCCAAATAAATAAGTAATGTTCAGTTATATATCCCTGAACAAAAAAACAATGTTCGGACCTATGTTTTCGAAGTTTGGTTATATGTTTTGGAATTCAATTCCGAAAAAATGGCGAATAGTTTTTATTATTTTTTTAATTTTTTTCAAGAAATTTACACAACTCCAACCACACTCTCTACTTTTCAATTGCTAAGAGCATCTCCAACGGTAGTAGGCATTTTACCTATCTAAATATTACTATAAAGTATATATTTTATTTTGCCTATCAACTATTTTATGTTTTTACTCCAACCATGCTCTTTATTTTAGCTGTTTATCTAAATACTATTAATTTTACAGAATGCCACGTCAACAACAAAGATGGAGGGAAATGATCTTAATGATTGAATACATTTTGCCTAGCGTTGAAGGCTAGCTACATGTAGCTAGTGAATATGAGTTGAGCCAAAATGCCTAATCATATGCCTAGTGCATTGGAATTGAAAAAAATGAATCACACTAGGCATTTTAACTAATAAATATTATATGCCTAGTGCATTGGAGATGCTCTAAAGTACAAAAAAAGTAAACTCTTTATTTTACCTAATTACTTTAGCTATTGTGTTTTCCAACCACGCTCTTTATTTTAGCTAATCATTTAAACTAACTTAATTAATTTTTTAAAAAAAAAATACTAATTGTTGATATTTTACATACAACAATGATTCATCCCCCCTTTTTCCCCAACCCCCTTTGACCCCCTCTCTCTCTCATTGGTTACCTTTTCTTTTTCTTTTTCTTTTTTTTCCTGCTCCTCCAATCACTACCCGCCACGTGGCAAAGGGGGGTGAGGGGGTGGAGCAAGGATCCTCTAGAGTGATTTTTTCCTAAAGTTTTTTAGAGTGCAACATTGTGTGGTTGAGATTTACTGGCAAGTCACATCAATTTTTCTGATGTGACTTGCCAGTAAAAATACAAAATACAAAATAAGTTATTCCGTAATTCATCAAACAGAATTGAAAGAACATATAAAATTGCTACATACACACACATATATATAAAATATATAAAATCCCAAATCCAAGACATAAATATACAAAAATCTAAAATATATACATACATGATTGTTTTGAGAGCTTTTGAGGCTCTTCAATTGCAGCCACCAAAAAAATAAGATGGTAAAGTAACTAGCCCAATAGCTAGCCCATTGAAGCTCAAAATTAGACTTACATTGACTAAAA